TGCTCAACTGACCAACGAACAGTATATGAGCACTGTTTACACGTGTTTCATCTCACTCACTTGTTCACAATTAGAACAAGTGCATATTGACCGACTTCTAACTTGCATCCGAACACGAATTGAACGATTGTCAGTCTGATAGACCTAATCCACGTGAACGAATCATGAATGAACAAGAACTCATAATGATCCATGTGATTGATTATCCAGTCCCAATTGAGAATGGATAAATATGGACTGCTGATTGCTCACAACGGTCCACATGAAACCAATTTGTACTCATTTCACCTGAACATATTTCGAAACGAGCTACAGAAAATGAGAAAGCGCAAAAACCACACCTGTTTCACAATGGAACAAACAAACGAACAAAGCATACTGAATTGTTCACTTTCCCCATCTAGTCGCATTTGGGCACAATTGTTTTCACAATTCGAATGTGGCAGTCGACAGGCGAGAAACGAATCTGTGTCATTTTATTAAATACTCTCAGTCCAATCAAATACGAAGGTTATTATTGTATGACTGTTCTCATGCGATTGGATACATCAATCAGTGTACAATGCTCGTTTCTCATCCTTCTTGATTGTAGAATCCAAGCAAAAGCCGGAGGGAGAAGGTGAGCTGTGATTGATCATGTTGCAGTTTGGTCTTGTTCATTCATTCTTCATGATTCACTTCACGGATCGTGTGGTACAAGAAAGATTACGCTGCTGTGTTCTCGTCCCAATTCGATTTGTCTGTTTGCCACAACAAGCAATTTGCATTTGGCAATTCCACTGTGCAGTAGACGAACGGTTTCCCATTTCATTTCTCTTTATCGACACTTATTTGCTAACGCAGATAAACACCATGCGGTTGGATATTCGAATTGAAAATGACACACGAATTTTGGGCACTGAAAATTAGTCTCTCAAATGTTCCCATCAGATAGATCTAAGTACTCGAATGATTTGATGATCATCAACAACAAAACGAAAAACACAAATCAAACGTATGTTATCTAGCGAACTATTCCAACTGAACTGTGCAATTCAGTTATCTGACCAATAGTACATTCATTTATATGTTACCCATCAAATGATTCAATATACAATATGAATGCTCAACTGACCAACGAACAGTATATGAGCACTGTTTACACGTGTTTCATCTCACTCACTTGTTCACAATTAGAACAAGTGCATATTGACCGACTTCTAACTTGCATCCGAACACGAATTGAACGATTGTCAGTCTGATAGACCTAATCCACGTGAACGAATCATGAATGAACAAGAACTCATAATGATCCATGTGATTGATTATCCAGTCCCAATTGAGAATGGATAAATATGGACTGCTGATTGCTCACAACGGTCCACATGAAACCAATTTGTACTCATTTCACCTGAACATATTTCGAAACGAGCTACAGAAAATGAGAAAGCGCAAAAACCACACCTGTTTCACAATGGAACAAACAAACGAACAAAGCATACTGAATTGTTCACTTTCCCCATCTAGTCGCAATTGGGCACAATTGTTTTCACAATTCGAATGTGGCAGTCGACAGGCGAGAAACGAATCTGTGTCATTTTATTAAATACTCTCAGTCCAATCAAATACGAAGGTTATTATTATATGATTGTTCTCATGCGATTGGATACCTCAATCAGTGTACATTGCTCGTTTCTCATCTTTCTTGATTGTAGAATCCAAGCAAAAGCCGGAGGGAGAAGGTGAGCTGTGATTGATCATGTTGCAGTTTGGTCTTGTTCATTCATTCTTCATGATTCACTTCACGGATCGTGTGGTACAAGAAAGATTACGCTGCTGTGTTCTCGTCCCAATTCGATTTGTCTGTTTACCACAACAAGCAATTTGCATTTGGCAATTCCACTGTGCAGTAGACGAACGGTTTCCCATTTCATTCCTCTTTATCGACACTTATTTGCTAACGCAGATAAACACCATGCGGTTGGATATTCGAATTGAAAATGACACACGAATTTTGGGCACTGAAAATTAGTCTCTCAAATGTTCCCATCAGATAGATCTAAGTACTCGAATGATTTGATGATCATCAACAACAAAACGAAAAACACAAATCAAACGTATGTTATCTAGCGAACTATTCCAACTGAACTGTGCAATTCAGTTATCTGACCAATAGTACATTCATTTATATGTTACCCATCAAATGATTCAATATACAATATGAATGCTCAACTGACCAACGAACAGTATATGAGCACTGTTTACACGTGTTTCATCTCACTCACTTGTTCACAATTAGAACAAGTGCATATTGACCGACTTCTAACTTGCATCCGAACACGAATTGAACGATTGTCAGTGTGATAGACCTGTTCCACGTGAACGAATCATGAATGAACAAGAACTCATAATGATCCATGTGATTGATTATCCAGTCCCAATTGAGAATGGATAAATATGGACTGCTGATTGCTCACAACGGTCCACATGAAACCAATTTGTACTCATTCCACCTGAACATATTTCGAAACGAGCTACAGAAAATGAGAAAGCGCAAAAGCCACACCTGTTTCACAATGGAACAAACAAACGAACAAAGCATACTGAATTGTTCACTTTCCCCATCTAGTCGCATTTGGGCACAATTGTTTTCACAATTCGAATGTGGCAGTCGACAGGCGAGAAACGAATCTGTGTCATTTTATTGAATACTCTCAGTCCAATCAAATACGAAGGTTATTATTATATGATTGTTCTCATGCGATTGGATACCTCAATCAGTGTACATTGCTCGTTTCTCATCTTTCTTGATTGTAGAATCCAAGCAAAAGCCGGAGGGAGAAGGTGAGCTGTGATTGATCATGTTGCAGTTTGGTCTTGTTCATTCATTCTTCATGATTCACTTCACGGATCGTGTGGTACAAGAAAGATTACGCTGCTGTGTTCTCGTCCCAATTCGATTTGTCTGTTTGCCACAACAAGCAATTTGCATTTGGCAATTCCACTGTGCAGTAGACGAACGGTTTCCCATTTCATTTCTCTTTATCGACACTTATTTGCTAACGCAGATAAACACCATGCGGTTGGATATTCGAATTGAAAATGACACACGAATTTTGGGCACTGAAAATTAGTCTCTCAAATGTTCCCATCAGATAGATCTAAGTACTCGAATGATTTGATGATCATCAACAACAAAACGAAAAACACAAATCAAACGTATGTTAACTAGCGAACTATTCCAACTGAACTGTGCAATTCAGTTAGCTGACCAATAGTACATTCATTTATATGTTACCCATCAAATGATTCAATATACAATATGAATGCTCAACTGACCAACGAACAGTATATGAGCACTGTTTACACGTGTTTCATCTCACTCACTTGTTCACAATTAGAACAAGTGCATATTGACCGACTTCTAACTTGCATCCGAACACGAATTGAACGATTGTCAGTCTGATAGACCTAATCCACGTGAACGAATCATGAATGAACAAGAACTCATAATGATCCATGTGATTGATTATCCAGTCCCAATTGAGAATGGATAAATATGGACTGCTGATTGCTCACAACGGTCCACATGAAACCAATTTGTACTCATTTCACCTGAACATATTTCGAAACGAGCTACAGAAAATGAGAAAGCGCAAAAACCACACCTGTTTCACAATGGAACAAACAAACGAACAAAGCATACTGAATTGTTCACTTTCCCCATCTAGTCGCATTTGGGCACAATTGTTTTCACAATTCGAATGTGGCAGTCGACAGGCGAGAAACGAATCTGTGTCATTTTATTAAATACTCTCAGTCCAATCAAATACGAAGGTTATTATTATATGATTGTTCTCATGCGATTGGATACCTCAATCAGTGTACATTGCTCGTTTCTCATCTTTCTTGATTGTAGAATCCAAGCAAAAGCCGGAGGGAGAAGGTGAGCTGTGATTGATCATGTTGCAGTTTGGTCTTGTTCATTCATTCTTCATGATTCACTTCACGGATCGTGTGGTACAAGAAAGATTACGCTGCTGTGTTCTCGTCCCAATTCGATTTGTCTGTTTGCCACAACAAGCAATTTGCATTTGGCAATTCCACTGTGCAGTAGACGAACGGTTTCCCATTTCATTTCTCTTTATCGACATTTATTTGCTAACGCAGATAAACACCATGCGGTTGGATATTCGAATTGAAAATGACACACGAATTTTGGGCACTGAAAATTAGTCTCTCAAATGTTCCCATCAGATAGATCTAAGTACTCGAATGATTTGATGATCATCAACAACAAAACGAAAAACACAAATCAAACGTATGTTATCTAGCGAACTATTCCAACTGAACTGTGCAATTCAGTTAGCTGACCAATAGTACATTCATTTATATGTTACCCATCAAATGATTCAATATACAATATGAATGCTCAACTGACCAACGAACAGTATATGAGCACTGTTTACACGTGTTTCATCTCACTCACTTGTTCACAATTAGAACAAGTGCATATTGACCGACTTCTAACTTGCATCCGAACACGAATTGAACGATTGTCAGTCTGATAGACCTGTTCCACGTGAACGAATCATGAATGAACAAGAACTCATAATGATCCATGTGATTGATTATCCAGTCCCAATTGAGAATGGATAAATATGGACTGCTGATTGCTCACAACGGTCCACATGAAACCAATTTGTACTCATTTCACCTGAACATATTTCGAAACGAGCTACAGAAAATGAGAAAGCGCAAAAACCACACCTGTTTCACAATGGAACAAACAAACGAACAAAGCATACTGAATTGTTCACTTTCCCCATCTAGTCGCATTTGGGCACAATTGTTTTCACAATTCGAATGTGGCAGTCGACAGGCGAGAAACGAATCTGTGTCATTTTATTAAATACTCTCAGTCCAATCAAATACGAAGGTTATTATTATATGATTGTTCTCATGCGATTGGATACCTCAATCAGTGTACATTGCTCGTTTCTCATCTTTCTTGATTGTAGAATCCAAGCAAAAGCCGGAGGGAGAAGGTGAGCTGTGATTGATCATGTTGCAGTTTGGTCTTGTTCATTCATTCTTCATGATTCACTTCACGGATCGTGTGGTACAAGAAAGATTACGCTGCTGTGTTCTCGTCCCAATTCGATTTGTCTGTTTGCCACAACAAGCAATTTGCATTTGGCAATTCCACTGTGCAGTAGACGAACGATTTCCCATTTCATTTCTCTTTATCGACACTTATTTGCTAACGCAGATAAACACCATGCGGTTGGATATTCGAATTGAAAATGACACACGAATTTTGGGCACTGAAAATTAGTCTCTCAAATGTTCCCATCAGATAGATCTAAGTACTCGAATGATTTGATGATCATCAACAACAAAACGAAAAACACAAATCAAACGTATGTTATCTAGCGAACTATTCCAACTGAACTGTGCAATTCAGTTATCTGACCAATAGTACATTCATTTATATGTTACCCATCAAATGATTCAATATACAATATGAATGCTCAACTGACCAACGAACAGTATATGAGCACTGTTTACACGTGTTTCATCTCACTCACTTGTTCACAATTAGAACAAGTGCATATTGACCGACTTCTAACTTGCATCCGAACACGAATTGAACGATTGTCAGTCTGATAGACCTAATCCACGTGAACGAATCATGAATGAACAAGAACTCATAATGATCCATGTGATTGATTATCCAGTCCCAATTGAGAATGGATAAATATGGACTGCTGATTGCTCACAACGGTCCACATGAAACCAATTTGTACTCATTTCACCTGAACATATTTCGAAACGAGCTACAGAAAATGAGAAAGCGCAAAAACCACACCTGTTTCACAATGGAACAAACAAACGAACAAAGCATACTGAATTGTTCACTTTCCCCATCTAGTCGCATTTGGGCACAATTGTTTTCACAATTCGAATGTGGCAGTCGACAGGCGAGAAACGAATCTGTGTCATTTTATTGAATACTCTCAGTCCAATCAAATACGAAGGTTATTATTATATGATTGTTCTCATGCGATTGGATACCTCAATCAGTGTACATTGCTCGTTTCTCATCTTTCTTGATTATAGAATCCAAGCAAAAGCCGGAGGGAGAAGGTGAGCTGTGATTGATCATGTTGCAGTTTGGTCTTGTTCATTCATTCTTCATGATTCACTTCACGGATCGTGTGGTACAAGAAAGATTACGCTGCTGTGTTCTCGTCCCAATTCGATTTGTCTGTTTGCCACAACAAGCAATTTGCATTTGGCAATTCCACTGTGCAGTAGACGAACGGTTTCCCATTTCATTTCTCTTTATCGACACTTATTTGCTAACGCAGATAAACACCATGCGGTTGGATATTCGAATTGAAAATGACACACGAATTTTGGGCACTGAAAATTAGTCTCTCAAATGTTCCCATCAGATAGATCTAAGTACTCGAATGATTTGATGATCATCAACAACAAAACGAAAAACACAAATCAAACGTATGTTAACTAGCGAACTATTCCAACTGAACTGTGCAATTCAGTTAGCTGACCAATAGTACATTCATTTATATGTTACCCATCAAATGATTCAATATACAATATGAATGCTCAACTGACCAACGAACAGTATATGAGCACTGTTTACACGTGTTTCATCTCACTCACTTGTTCACAATTAGAACAAGTGCATATTGACCGACTTCTAACTTGCATCCGAACACGAATTGAACGATTGTCAGTCTGATAGACCTAATCCACGTGAACGAATCATGAATGAACAAGAACTCATAATGATCCATGTGATTGATTATCCAGTCCCAATTGAGAATGGATAAATATGGACTGCTGATTGCTCACAACGGTCCACATGAAACCAATTTGTACTCATTTCACCTGAACATATTTCGAAACGAGCTACAGAAAATGAGAAAGCGCAAAAGCCACACCTGTTTCACAATGGAACAAACAAACGAACAAAGCATACTGAATTGTTCACTTTCCCCATCTAGTCGCAATTGGGCACAATTGTTTTCACAATTCGAATGTGGCAGTCGACAGGCGAGAAACGAATCTGTGTCATTTTATTATATACTCTCAGTCCAATCAAATACGAAGGTTATTATTATATGATTGTTCTCATGCGATTGGATACCTCAATCAGTGTACATTGCTCGTTTCTCATCTTTCTTGATTATAGAATCCAAGCAAAAGCCGGAGGGAGAAGGTGAGCTGTGATTGATCATGTTGCAGTTTGGTCTTGTTCATTCATTCTTCATGATTCACTTCACGGATCGTGTGGTACAAGAAAGATTACGCTGCTGTGTTCTCGTCCCAATTCGATTTGTCTGTTTGCCACAACAAGCAATTTGCATTTGGCAATTCCACTGTGCAGTAGACGAACGGTTTCCCATTTCATTTCTCTTTATCGACACTTATTTGCTAACGCAGATAAACACCATGCGGTTGGATATTCGAATTGAAAATGACACACGAATTTTGGGCACTGAAAATTAGTCTCTCAAATGTTCCCATCAGATAGATCTAAGTACTCGAATGATTTGATGATCATCAACAACAAAACGAAAAACACAAATCAAACGTATGTTATCTAGCGAACTATTCCAACTGAACTGTGCAATTCAGTTATCTGACCAATAGTACATTCATTTATATGTTACCCATCAAATGATTCAATATACAATATGAATGCTCAACTGACCAACGAACAGTATATGAGCACTGTTTACACGTGTTTCATCTCACTCACTTGTTCACAATTAGAACAAGTGCATATTGACCGACTTCTAACTTGCATCCGAACACGAATTGAACGATTGTCAGTCTGATAGACCTGTTCCACGTGAACGAATCATGAATGAACAAGAACTCATAATGATCCATGTGATTGATTATCCAGTCCCAATTGAGAATGGATAAATATGGACTGCTGATTGCTCACAACGGTCCACATGAAACCAATTTGTACTCATTTCACCTGAACATATTTCGAAACGAGCTACAGAAAATGAGAAAGCGCAAAAACCACACCTGTTTCACAATGGAACAAACAAACGAACAAAGCATACTGAATTGTTCACTTTCCCCATCTAGTCGCATTTGGGCACAATTGTTTTCACAATTCGAATGTGGCAGTCGACAGGCGAGAAACGAATCTGTGTCATTTTATTAAATACTCTCAGTCCAATCAAATACGAAGGTTATTATTATATGATTGTTCTCATGCGATTGGATACCTCAATCAGTGTACATTGCTCGTTTCTCATCTTTCTTGATTGTAGAATCCAAGCAAAAGCCGGAGGGAGAAGGTGAGCTGTGATTGATCATGTTGCAGTTTGGTCTTGTTCATTCATTCTTCATGATTCACTTCACGGATCGTGTGGTACAAGAAAGATTACGCTGCTGTGTTCTCGTCCCAATTCGATTTGTCTGTTTGCCACAACAAGCAATTTGCATTTGGCAATTCCACTGTGCAGTAGACGAACGGTTTCCCATTTCATTTCTCTTTATCGACACTTATTTGCTAACGCAGATAAACACCATGCGGTTGGATATTCGAATTGAAAATGACACACGAATTTTGGGCACTGAAAATTAGTCTCTCAAATGTTCCCATCAGATAGATCTAAGTACTCGAATGATTTGATGATCATTTTTAGTTGCGTACTTGCGATTCTAAACTTTATTCTAATTTCTCCGATGTCTAGCCGTAATTGGATTTCTTTTGGTCCCTTCTCGTCTTTTCTTCAGGGCTATCTCTGCCCGTCTTAACTGCATAGTATCTGGCAAGCGTCCTCTAGTGCCCTTTACAATAGTAGGGCAATTCAAACAAGATTCGTAGCCCATTTCTGTCAAGGGTATTTCGCTGCTTGCCACTTGTCGTACGAGTTTCCTAAGGCTGGTAATTTCGGTTGGCTTAATTTTGGTTCCGTTGCCCATTTCGTCTAAGAGGCGTTCAGCGAAATCATCATGGCACCCAAACTGTGATTCCAAGATATCAATAGCTCTCACATATCCTTCATGAGGGGGTAACATCATGCAATCTTCTATGGCCTCTTGTGCCTCTCCAACACAGCAATGGATCAAAAAGCGTAGCCTCCCTCTATCGTTCAGCAAGACGCTGGCCACATCTGCCTTGAAGCTGCTAAGAAATTTCCACAATCGCTTTGGTGTTCCGTCGAATTCGATTAATTCTATATCCGGTAAACTGATCCGACGATTAGTACTTGTTCTCGACTCGGCGTCTTCAGTAACTCTGCGACTGGCTGAGGCTCGACAACCTTCAACGTTCTTCTTAACAGAGTCTAACGAAACAAAACCTGGAGGTTTATCTGAATTCGATTCGTCGTCACTTGGTTGAACGCTACCAGCTACGTTCTCTAGCTCTAATGATAATTGTTGCTGCCTAATCTTCAAACGTTCCATATTTAACTGCAGCTGTTCAGCTTTCAATTCCTGGATTCTAGTTCTGCTACTGGCCGACGACCGAGTTTCTAATCCCCTACGAACTAACGTATCTGATCTGATAGCCATATCAAGCAATGGGGCACGGGAAGAATACTGCTTACCCAGATTGTCCTCTATGTTTGATTGATTCGGTAGGTGGGTGTTTCTGTATTCCTCCTGTTCACCGGATGAGTGCAAGTGTCCGTTCGCGGCCAGTTGGTGCTTCATATTCTTCGTCACGGCATCGATTTTTCTTCAAAGTTCCCGGTTGAAGAACAGTTTGAGTACTGTTAGATACGTACGTCCGATTCTGAACTTTAGTCTAATTTATCCGGTGTCTAGGCCGAGTTGGAGTGACGCGCTCTCCTCAGAAACCAAATCAAACTAGCTGAGGTTTATTAGTGGTACTACAAACAATATTCAATCAAAGGGGTAAATGTACAAACCTCAAACGTGGCGTCCTCACGGGAATCACCGTTTACTAACGTTCCGTACAGTTCAGAATGGATAACACGTACTATGGCCAATTGGCCGAGGCACAAGTCACCAGGTAGGTTAACGAAACGACCACAACTAACAATGACAAGGAAAGGAACGCGCATATAAGGGACATGAACGAACGGAAAAGCGACCAGGCGGAAATCGATCGATGGCTCTGACCAACCAGGGAGTAGGGCAGGGATTCGCTCAGGCGCTCAAACACACGAATAGTCACGGGTCGAACAGGTCACAATCTTGTGTGGGTGCGTAGTGTATACATCGGTACATGTGCGTGATTAAACATGCCTGCCGGGTGCGGACGATCAGAATTCGGTGCCCAATCGAGCAGCCTAGTCCAGGTCTAGTCAATCGACCGAGTGATGTGTGTGTGTGCGTGTGTGACGGACGGGCAACGCCTGAGAGCGATGAGGAATCATGTGGACTGATAGCCGTGTAATCATGTGGTTTAAGTTAAACGAATTAGGAATGTCAAACCGGTCCAAACGTGGCATAAGTTGGTGTTCATGAATGAGCAGGATTGAAATGGGCAAACAGATTCAACAATCATCAACAAGAAAACGAAAAACAAAAATCAAACGTATGTTATCTAGCGAACTATTCCAACTGAACTGTGCAATTCAGTTATCTGACCAATAGTACATTCATTTATTTTTTGTCCCACAAATGTTACCTATACTTTATTCTCTCGGTGCTGGACCGGCTCGTCTTTTCGTATGATCTATTTTACCCCTCTGTTTTAGGGATTCTTTTTTTCCTTCCTCCTTCTTTGGAATATTCCTCTCAGTTTACCTTGTTTTTACCGGGGGCCTTTTTCTTATCTATGTGGTTCATACTATGTTTTTCGTCACTTTTTTTCTCTGGATGTTTTCCTTCACTCGTTGAACAATTTCTTTGCTTTTCACGTATGAATTTCCTTGGGATTATTTTAACTTTTCGACCAACTAGATATTCTTATCTGCCCTCTTTTCTACTTTCTTTCACCTGTTTGATCTGCAGAAAGCAATACTACAGGTAAGCTTGATTATTTGACCGGAGCTCTTTGTGCTTAATGTTTTTTACTTCGCGAATTGTTTTTGGGAAAGTGCTAGCGTTCCATCTTTTTCTTGTTAGAATATGTAATTTTCTGTCTTTGAAAGGCTTCTTCACGTTCGAACATGACTCTGAATTGGAATAGGATTATTGCACGTAACTGTGTCTAATTCATATTCAACTTCCATTTTACAGCTTCTTCAAATGGCACTTCGAGGCCCCCCAGTCACATGGCTTTCCTCACATTCCCGCTAAAGTGTCTTGGATTGATCCAGTAGTGGATACGTTTAATTGCCGCGGATATATTCCTCAGCTTTAACAATGTTTGCTGTTTGTTATTTATTACCTAACAAATAAAGTGTTGTCTCTGGCGCAAACGGAGACTTTTTAATTTTGGTGCATCTGTTTTCGCTTATGCTGAAAGAAAACCGAGGTACATGGCTTGTGTTTAGGTTCATCCAACTCAGCGCAGAGCTTCATGGTCTAAACTACTAACTTCCATCTCCTAAACTGATAAAATCCACAAAAGTTTTCATTACCCGGAAGCCTCCCGGTTTAATTCATGAGAACAACTGGTTAGTGGGGATTGAAGAGATGCGTTGTGTATCTTAAATTTTACAAAACAGTGGAGGGTGTCGATAATCCTCGCGATAGCCGTAAAAGTGCATGTAGTTGTGAAGTTCACACACGATAGGCTTTCACTGCCGTATCACTTGAAACTGGCTCTCAACGCGTCGTTTTTAAATGAACACTATCAAGATCACTCATTCAAAATAATATCTAAAGTAACAATTAGTCTCATTTAGCGTAGTTACGGATGTTAAGCCGTAACAAACGATTTTTCCGGAAGATATCAAATAATTTGTTCGAAAAACTTCGAGTGAACAGTAGCAAAACACCTTTCATCTGCCTACTGCCCCTTGATTTGAATAATCAAAATTTCAACACGAGTTCATCGTATCAGTTGCATAACTGATATCTATCCAGAGTCCTCCCTAGTTTATCTTACACAACGAAATACTCGGATAGTATAGCAACAATCGTTTTCCTTGAAAATGTGAGTGATTTGATTTTTCTTCTAAACCATTTCATGCGGAAACGGCGAGTAAAGCACAACTGCATGCGCACTCAGCGGATCAATGATCCATATCACATATTGTCATGCACCTGCTACTGGACACACGCATAGTGTTAATGCCTGCTATTATCCGTCCAGGACTGCATTGCACAATCAGAACGTGCCACGTGTTGAGAGCTCCTGGTTGGTCTGATACAATTAGATGCTCTAAATGCACCTGTATACATGTGTAGCTGCGACTCACGCACCCATCCACTCGTCAGCGTATTCCTTGACATGTTCAGGCTCACAATCGCCGTATACTGTGTCTGAGTGCACAAAAGAATAAATATCCCTCATATGATTGTTAGGAATTTCTTTTTCAACAAAGAAAACGTAGTTGTCTATCGATTAGCACAGACCATTTGATCCCAAGTGCGTTTGGGCGTGCTCAAACCTCCAATCATATTAGTGAGATAGTTGAATGAATTACGTATTCACTGTGACGAATAGCTGCTCTAAACTGAGGTCCCAAATGGCAAAAATACACGAAAACAGATGTGTGAGTTCTATTGACAGTTCTGTTGATATTTTCGAAGTTTTAGGTTCTGGCAAGATAAACAAAATTTATTAATTTGAGAAGAGAACAGAAGTATGATGATAGAGACACAGTTAACTCCGCATTCAAGTGGCAATGTTTTCTGATTTATTTAAAAAAACGAGATCTCAAATTGCCAGTAGAAATTATGTTGAGAGTTTGATCAGTATGAAATTCCGTGAAACGGAACTCGGACACGACAAAAACTGATAGTAAAAAGCAAATGAGATTGCAAAACACATAAAGTCATAACAACTGCAATGATCTCCAGAATCCTCCCGTCCAACCGGATGTAGTGGTTAGATCATTCTGATATACCATTGTTCACATGAAATGCAATTCTTATCATTGAACCAACAGATCAAGTTGTTCCTCGACAATTCTGATAAGTATGGTTCATCTGGCATGACAAAATATTGGTCAATGGACAAAAGTAATTAGCATTTTATACTGCTCAAACGTGCCCACTTTGAAACACAGGTAATTTTTTCCAGGTTCTACGCGCTAATCGGCACTCAGGGTTCATGATAGATGAAGTGGGGAAACTTTTAATTTGCCTCTTCTGCAACTAGTCATATAAAAAACATGATCACTGGCCGATACCAAACGTTTTATCACGCACGAAAAAATAATTAGGGCATTTGTTCCTTTCCATGGGGAAAACTGTTTGGCTAAAAATAACAGGAACGGTTGGAAAAAATGAAACGTAAAAATTTGATTGCCTAAATATCAGGAAAATACCCATATCATGCAAATTTCATGTTCGACGAAGTGTTTGTTTCACAGCATTTCATTACCAATCGTTTCACAGGTTATATAATTGGCATGGACGTTTGTGAACTTTGTTTTGTGCTCCATGAACGGCTTGATAAATTGTTACTGAAAAAGCAATTGTTTCGCCACATTGCAACTTAAGCAGAAAGCGAATAAGATTGAATTCAAAAGTTTGAAGAGAAAACAACAAAGTGAATATGAATGTTTTTTTTGGGATCGTAGCACTGCTTCTCCTTTGGTGCCCACTGCAAATAAAAACTGGTACATGGGTACTTCGGTCGGCGTGCAAAGAATATAGTAATTATCTTCTCAATGGGTTGACCTATTTGAAAGGTCGACGGCTTGCCGTAGCTTTTGTGAAATTCATCATATTGGAGCTTGCAGGTCTGTAGAGGATTCTCGACTATTTGTTTTGAACGAATCGATATGATTTAACATTGAGTTTTGGCATCTTTTTTTGCAATGTTTTATTTATGTGCATACTCGTCTTGATAACCAATATATCCAACAAGACCACTCTTGTAACGAATGGGTACCATACGTTGAGAGTTCAGGAATTACTTTACCTAGGTGGACTATCGATGAATTTTCCCGATGGTTAATGTCTTGGTCAGGAAATCACAATCGATTATTGGCTACATCTTCCATGATAAAAGAAATTTGTGTAAAGAGTTCTGTGGCTAATTTCACGACTTATTGATGCATGAAGCATCATGAGTTCGAACTAACAATAACGTTTCTAAATAAGCGGTAGTGTTGCTATTTTATTCTGATCGTTTATCCTTGTATCGATAAAAAGTCATATAAATGTTTTTCGCTACAGGAACATTTGTAAGATTGCTAACATGTCAACGAAATTCACATCACAGATGTTGACGACAAGTTGATTAGCCATGTCGAAATACTTAAAACCATCTCGCAAACATGGGAACTGATGCGGAGCTGCATAGATTACCATTCGTAAGCAAACATTAAATACCACACGCATGAGTTTTGACAGAATGATGCAAAAAATGTTTCGCATTTTGCGGTCTACTTCTGGCCGAAAATTGTTGCCGGGCAAAGGTAATCTGAAATTTATAAAATTGTTGAGGGGCGTTAGTTTGGCATAGGTAAAATTTTTGAAATCGCCGTTCCGTGTCATTTGCTAGAGACTTACTATACAATTGCCACTGGTAATCCTCTGTGCCAAGTCAATCTATGTGCCACTGCTCTATATTTTGTGTTTACAAATATCAACAGTGCACATCATGTAGTTGTTTGAAACGGAATGGCTTTATATCGATTAAAATTACTTCTCTGAGTCTTCCAAATAATAAGCCGAGAATTGCTTACATCGTGGGAACAGAAAGAAGGCATAAGTCGCGAGATGCAAGCTTTCCGTTTACTCGAGTCTACCGCGTACGTAGAACATTTTAGCCTGTACATCATACAGTGAGAAAAAACAAAATAGCCGAAAGGGCTGCACTGAAAACTATGTCAGTGCCTTCGGTAGGATGGGGGATAAGTCTGTTCGGTTAGTGCCAAGACAAACAAACATTTTGTTTCATCCTTTTATATGCACAAAGCGCTGGATGATGCTCATGCTAAGCATCGCCTCACTGAATATCAGTAGGTTCGTTTTGGGATTGCTCAACAACACTGTGAAGGATGTCGTCAGGTCAACCATGTGACCTGACGCAATTAGGTGATTCGCAATTGAAAAAGCTAGAGGTCTCACATCATCTGCGGCCGCATTGCGTTGCGTCATTGATTTTGACAACCATTTGGGTAGTTCTACGACATTCCTTGTGCCAAGCAGCGATTTATCTAGCCACTGTATGAGTCACCGCAGCGGTAAGTGAACGGATAGACAACATGTGAGACTTTGGGATCGGGAAGACTCTCTGATCGATTTATGAAGCTTGACCTTTTGATGGTCTGCAACAGACGTAATTGCACCGCTGTGTATGAAAGGCTTATGGTTGAATTGAGATTTATATTTATTTGATTTAAAACGTGGTCACCTTTCAAAGGTTAAATAATAAAAACTTGCTTTTTATCGATCGTGATTGGCTTTTCGCTTGCTGTTCTCCGCTTTCGGCGATGCTCGATGAAATTCTCGGGAGAACCATTGGCGACCAACGTTCTGTTTATGAACTCCTCTACATTTTGCACTTGATCACTGGTGCAAATTTTCTGCGACCTTTTGAAGAGAGTTCAGACTAATCCACATTTGTAGACCTTTCGTCCAAAGCCGGAGAATAGTAAATAGCGACCACCCCACGTAGCTCTGCGATAAATACTCTTTTGCAATGTTCCATCCTGAAGTTTGGTTACTAGAATGTCCAAAAATGAATAGCTATCGGCACTTTCTTCTTCATGAGTAACAGAAAAATACGGATGAATAGAGGTTATGGGGTTATCAAAGGGGAAAAATGTTTCCCATTAGAAAACAATAAAATGTCGTCTACGTATCGTTTTAAGGTAAGAATTGAAAATACTAGCACTGAGTTTTCTTTCGATCATCCCCAGAAAAACACCGGCCAAGGTCGGACCCAGAGGACTACCCATGGCCACACCATCAATCTGCCTGTAGAATTAAAACGGACATTCTCTGTGCAGATCTTTACAATGTTCATAGAGATTCTCTAATTGGACATGTGTTTGTAACTGATCCCCTTTCTAAGGTGGCACGTTAAATTTTAGTCCCAATGAGAGTAATTCACGTTGCGCTGTGGTCAGCTTGGAACCAGAAAGATTGTGAATGTATGCACTTGTGTCTGTGGGGATAGTGACCTTTCTTGCATTTTGCACATGCTGTCCTCAAGGCTTTTCATTTTTTTCGACTTGGTTTTTCGCAACATTTC